AGTATAGATCAGAAGTCGGCAACCTTTTTAAAGCAAAAAGCCATTTTATTCTAAATGTCTGACCCAAGATTTCCAAAGAGTCCCAATGCATAGAGAATAGGGTTTCAGATATGATTTTAATGTAATTTCGGTATATACGCATTTAACACAAAAACAAAACTTCAAGTACTTACAAAAAGTAAAGAAATACAATTTCGGGGGTTTTAAATCACTCGGACATGTAACAGCGCAAAGCTGACTAATATCACAATATTGTTCAGTTCTGTAGCAATAGTCTTCACCCTCACCCAAATTTGGCTCTGCAGTTGTCTGCCCTTCACTCTCCACTACTTGTAACTGTGCTTACCGAGCAGTGCAAAATGTCCTCACCACTTCGAACTCAGCTGGCTATAATATGTAGATCGGAGAAAATATAATAATTTTACGAAGATCTGGGAAGGCGTGATGACGATTTACTACGCAAAGTATATGAAAGAATTACAGTGGAACCTCGGATTATGAGTAACGCGGTTTACGAGTGTTCCGCAAGACGAGCAAAGATTTTTAATAAATTTTGACTTGTAAACCAAGCAAGTCCTGGTTTACGAGTGCCAAGTATCATCAAAAATCATAGGGCACACATGCGCTCCTTGTTTTTCTTGTTTTTACGTGCGCTCGGCTGCGGAATTGTGGGTAATCGTCTCCCATGCTCGGTCTCAGTCAGCATGCCTCACTCGTATAGTCAAAATTTAGTAGAAAAGCACCACCTGAATAAGGGTGTAGCAGTGCGCGCGATGAATCTATTTAATGACAATGCAATGTCCACATTTTTGCGAAATCGAAAAGTAGGCAAAAGAGGCTGTCATTGGATGGGTTCCTTGTTAAAGTCGCACAAACAGAGAAAGATTCCAGTGAGCCAACAGATAGCAGTGATTCCATTAATTATAGTGAAAGTCATCCTACAAAATAACCCTCCTCTTCTCCTCTCTCATCTCCCTCACACCATCCACGATTCTTTTCAAAGGTAAAGTGCAGGTTAATGTGTTTTGTGTATTTTTACTTTATATTTTGTATTAATAATTTTTATAGGAATATTTTTGAGTTGTGGAACGGATCATATGAGTTTCCATTATTTCTAATGGGAAAATTCGCTTTGATATACGAGTGCTTTGGATTACAAGCATGTTTCCGGAAGAAATTATGCTCGTAAACCAAGGTACCACTGTATATATTACTGATATGACATATATAAAATAAAACACTGACACTAATCCCAACAGCAACAACCTTAACCCCTACCCAGCCCTAACCTTAACCATGAGTAACCAAATAAAATATGAGACTTTGGTTTTTGATTTCAGACAGATTTTCAAAATTGAATTTCCGCTTGTAGGGAACTGATAAAAATGGATCCCACATCAAAATAACAGGTTTTTATCACATAATGGGGACACAATGTAATAAATGTATAAATAAATAAATAACACACACACATACACACATATATATATGGGATCATATATTTTTATCAGCTGGAAATGGTCTCCTTCTCTAAGTTCCCATATACCCTCAAACTTCCTGTCAATTACACATCTCATTGTTTTCCATTCCCTTATTGGTCTTTCCTGATTTTTTTTCTGTTCTATTTGCTTGCTTGATGTGCAGAAATCTCCAGTGGGAATCTGAATTTAAGGCTTTATCTTAAAGTATTAAATACTAACAACAGCATGACAACAGGATATGGAGGATTACTTTTCAATTTTAATGTGCTTTCTTTTCTGTTTTCAGATACTAGTACAACTCCAAGATACTTATACAAAACTCAAATTAAAATACCATATTATCAGTTTAGATCCAGATTGTTTACCTAAACAATGCTGCCATAGTGCTCTAATCATCCATCCATCCATCCATCTTTCAACTGCTTAGGCAAGGCATAGCATGTTAGATTTGCACAGCACTTGAACAGTGGGCCTGTCATGGCCTGGTGGGAGGGGTGTGTTGGAGAAGAAGTTTGCAGCCCCATTGCTGCAAATCACAATGGTGTTGATGGCGGGGTCAGTGTGAAGAAGAGCCGATTGTTCCCAAACTGGGTCAAAACAGGCGCTTGATTGGCTACAAGCAGAATTATGCAGCTTAAAAAAAGAACCACCATGAAGGGTTGTCTTTGTTCATCACAGCTATCTTGGAGGCCTGAAGTTTTAATCTAATCCTGCATTAAATCTGAGTCAAGGATTTATATCACTGCTCATCCCTCCCTGTCTACTTTGTAGCTTTAGGCCCACGGCTTGAGAGATACTGAGATGGTTTCGCTATCGATCGGAGGAGCGCTATGATACAGTTGCAAGCGCATAGCATTGATTTTTGACAGGGCGGAGGTGGGGGCACCAGGGTGTTTCAGCTGTGGGACAGAGAGGGCTGGCAGGTTATCTTCTCAAATGTCCGGAAGTCTTTCTTGTGGCGTTGACCTTCCCAAGTCAAAGAGGCAGGTCCATTCAGTCTTGGCCTGTATCATTTTGACAGCCCAGAGCAACCACTCTTGAGAAAGCAAGCTTTACATCAACCTAAGTACAGTGATGTGAAGGGTCTGCATTCAGTGTATCTAGTTGCTTCAGCTGTAAAAATTATGGTAAAATACCTTAATATTCCAATGTTTAAGTATTTCTTGGCATAGAAGTCAGGATTGTGGAGCTGAACAGAAAAATCACCAACCAAGGATTGATTATGTTGAATACCAAGGTCTTTACCTTAGATTCAGCATGAATTCTCAGTGCATTGATTGGGACCCGCCTGAACAAGCTTGAGGCCTTTATGTTAATTCAAGAGATTCTTCTGTTGTTCTATACCATCCAAGCAAACTCAAATACCAGAAAAGAGTATGTTACATTTATTGCATATTTATATACGTATTTTATATTTTTGTTTTCCTTATACATTTTAATTAGGACTTCTAAAGCTTTCATGTCAGACAACCAGTGTAAGACCTCCTTTGATCAGACATGACTCGCGTCATGCTGTGGAGTGTCTGGAATCTAATTGGTTACTTGAATGTCTGTCCATCTGTCTGAACACGCATGTTTTCCTTCATTTGAATATAAAACAGAACTCAACAGAGTATTTCACAGCAATTTCACAAACCCTTTGATCCAACTTTTAAGTTTTTGCCTTTTTGACTCAGGTCAGTCACTAATAACTGGGACTACAACAACTAATCAATAGCCTTGATAAAAATACTTGCCAATGAATTTTGTCATTGATTGGTTGCATTTTTGTGGTTTGCTGTGTAAATTGCATATAATCACATCACCACCTACCAGTCTTAATGTTGATATTTTAAGCCTGGTTTCCCTTTTCCATATGCTGTTACTGTACATTCTGTACACAACGTCCAGACTCTTGTGTACATACTGCATTTGTCTGTGGACACAGATGATCGCGGTCGGTGTATGCGTACAGCAGTGGCAGACCAGCAAAGGGCAAATGTATTGCAACCAAGCCAAATTCAAGCAGTGTAGTGAAATGGGTAAACCTCTATGAACTGTTTTAAATTTGTTAGTAGGCTTGAGTGGTATCACAGTAATACATTTGGCAAATTTTATAAGCCAGGTTTCAAAATGCCGTTGTAACATTGCAATCATTAGCAAGCTAAATATGGTGGAGACAGTGGATCATTGTTTCTATGCCACTTTGTCACTTTAAATACAGATCTCTACACTGTGTAAAGTGTTTTTACAACTGAAAAAATACCTCTTGAGGCGTTTTTAAAAAAGCATTTGCACTTTTTTTTTAAACCCTGTGCTTTGGTCCAACTAATCAAGTAGTTGATTTCTTGATCACATGATTAATCAACGATCAAAACAATGTTTTTTTGCAGCCCTTGAACCATACCTTGCTTCTTTACTTCTGAAATGTACTTGATGATTTGATTATAAATTGTATTTCGTGTCAAAAGGAACATCGTGTGTGATACATGGTCTGTTAATTGGTATTTTTTCTCTGCTGGACTAATGTGTTTCAGTCCCCCTTTTAGCCCCACCTCCCTATGCATAGTGTTAATGTGCTGTAGTGGCCCAGCGTTCAAAGAGCTTGTCTTAACACCTGCCGCACACCATCCTGACATGCTGGTATTTGTTCTATCCTGGGGTCCCTGGAGTGCTCCTGAAAACAGAGCTTGGAGATGCATGGATCAATAGTGGTGTGTGAGCTGCTGGGGGAGGGGCTGGGAATGGGGCTGGGCCGGGGGATGTCTAGGGGTGCAGATGTGAGGGCCATGCCGATCATGGGCTGCCTAACCTCTTTCCCAAGCCTGACACTTAAAATCATTAGCGGGCCATTAATGTCAGTGGGCCAGTCAGTGTCACACTTGTGTCATTGCAGGGTTTTGGCACAGACATACTGATTTCTACATAGCCCCCAAGGGGACAGACTTGCTATGTATAATTTTGACACAATTTTGCATTCCCTTGCAAAACTTTCATAATAACATCTATGTGAATTAAGCCATAACACTATATTTGTGCATTTTAGGCCAAATTCAAAGTAAAAATCAATAAGGTCATCCATTACCAATGGATTTGTTGCTGTTGAAATGCATGAGTGCTTAGCATATATAGATTACAAGACAGGAGTGTGAGGATACACAAAAGTAGCTGCAAGGGGATACAAAAGTTTTGTGAAGTAATTCAAAACAATTGTAAGTGAATGCAGGGCTCTTTAAATTAAAATAGTCTATTTTCCAAATCTGTCTCTTTATAGGCTCCATCGATTTCAAACTATGGCTGTTTAATTTTTCATTGTTTTGAGGTGGCCTAGTTGACTGGTCCTTTGATCTTTACCCAGGTTTTCCTTGCAAAGTGACATTTTTTGGCTCATATTTTGAGCCAATAATATAATGATACTGTAATCAACCCAGTCAAAGTCAATAACAAGCCAACTAGCTAGCCTGATTTTTCTCAGCCTGTATTACAATGGTAATGTTAACTCTCCCACTCTCCCCCCTTCTCCTTCTCATCTCATTCCAGGCTCTATCCATGGCTGAGGTGAATGAACCAGGCCCCCAAGCAGCTGAACCGCAGATCGCAATGTTCTGTGGGCGCCAGATTCTGCACATGAACCTGGAAAGTAGCCAATGGGAGCCTGACCCCCAGGGCAGGCAGGGTTGCTTCACGGAGCCCAGCCAGATCCTGTCATACTGCCAGGAGGTACAGCTCCATGCGTGTGAAATGCCTGTACATAACAACAGCACTGTACAAAGGGAGGCTTATCTTCTTCTGTACACAACGTTCTTTTCCTGAAATGTGTGTGTCATTCCACCATTGCTAATGCACTCAAGAAGCACAGCCCCACAATGGGATTGTGCAATACTTTACACACCCTTCACTTCTATCAAATAAGTTCCATGACATGCACAACTATTTCATAATTTCCTTTTTACATACATCTGAGGCATTCATACAGAACTTATTAAAAGAAGTACACTTATTGTCCAAATGCAACCGCAGGTAGGTAATAAAGTGTGATGCTACTCTTAAGTCATTGGGTACAATCAGCATGACACACCCTGACACCAATTAAAAGGGCTGAAAGCAATTTTTTTTTTCATTTTTGTAATCAATGTTTACTCCCATTAAGATGTTATATCATATACCGCACATAATATACTGCACAACACACCCTTTTTATGAAATGAAAGAAAACAAAATGTATTGTAATGAATGCTAAGTTTGGTCTTTCCTCTTTCTTTTCAAATAGGACTAATTTTTATACAACTATGTTACGGGGCACAAAAAGAAACATCCTTGCTCCGTCTGTTTTCTGCTCTCTGCCTGACACTGATATCTCCCCAGTCACCTAAATTTCTCTCTAGCCCATATCATAAAGTATGTCCCCATCCATCAATGTCAGAATAACGCAAAATCCTGCATCTGAAGTTACTCCTCTCCTAAATAAACAATAATAGGCACTGTGTTTACTGAGGCAAACTATGCCATCTTGTGGTGAAAGAAGATTTTGCAGGAAAGTAGTGCTAAACTGTAGCGCTAACACTGCAATTTATAAATTCTGTCATATGTTCTTTACAATTTCAATTTCTCTATTTTTAAATAAATCATCACAAGGCTTTCCATAGACGAAAGGCATTTATTTACCTGCAGTTTTGTGGAGTTAAATGACACCCGCCACCTTCTTAGTGCTTTTTCTTGGCTGGTGTATCTTCCCTTTTCTTTTCCCTTATCTCCCTGCTTCTTCTTCTCCACTCTTCCTCTATTTTTTTGACCTCCCATCTCATCCCTTACTCCACTCCTAACTGCCTTCCCTGTCTGTGTGTCCAGATGTATCCAGCTTTGCAGATTTCACGTGTGGAAGAGTCTTTAAACCCTGTGACTATTCCTGCCTGGTGTAAGAAAGGCTGGGGACACTGTCAAACTCATCCCTTCATTGTCATGCCATACCGATGTCTAGGTAAGTAGCTGCCATCCTCATCTTAGTCAATTTACATCTGTCAATTTATTATTATTATTATTATTATTACTACTACTACTACTACTACTACTAGTAGTAGTAGTAGTAGTAGTAGTAGCAGAAGTAGTAGTAGTATACCATATTAAGGTTGCCTGCTTTAGACATGCTCCTGCTGCATAGCTTCTTGCAAGCAGAATTGACATTAAGTGCAACAAATATTGTTCTTTGTCGCCCCCTCTTGGAACATGTTTTTAATTCTGCAGGTAGCGTACGTCACAACCCATCAATGGTCAAAGTAAAATTTGAAAAGAGTATTTGAAAGTTTTTAATCAGTGTCCTTTGGTAGTAAAATCATAAAAATGGGACAACAAAATTAAAAAGATTAAGACTGCTTCAACCTGTCCTACCTGTTTTCAAAAATCCTACAGTCAGTCTTGCTCCAACATGACTAACGCGTTCCTGAAAAACCTCGCATTCACTAAGATTGCATACTAAAATACACATATCCAATGGGAAAAACAGGGTTACTGGAAAGCGACTCAAAACTTTGTAACTCAAACGAAATAAAATAAATAATAAAAACTTATACAGTGGTGCCTGCGGTTCACGAACATTATGGACAACAAACAATTCGGTTCACGACCAAAAGTTTTGTGGAAAAAAATGCATTGGTTCGCGTACAAAATTTGGTTGATGAACAGATATCTCGACCAGATTCCTTTTTTATACTAGTGTAGCACCGACACCGACACCGACACGTCCCAGCATGCCCTGCATGCGGTTGTAAATAGAAGGACCACAACAGACAACAAACGAGCATCGAACCTAAATACACAAATGGATTGGACCGGTGGCCTGTACTACGAAGCGGGGTTACTGGCTTATCGGGGTAACTTGCTGGATTTAAGGTCGTCTGGGCAAAATGTAAGTGAGTGGCCTGTACTACGAAGCGGGGTAACTGGCTTATCGGGGTAACTTGTCAGATTTAAGGTACCACAGTTTAAATGGACTTCATATTCGCTCACTTACATTTTGCCCAGACTACCTTAAATCCAGCAAGTTACCCCGATAAGCCAGTAACCCTGCTTCGTAGTACAGGCCACAGGCCACGGGTACACACAAGACACGGGCAAATACACGCGCGACAATAGGGAAATGCAACTATTAACATCAACAACAACATACAACATCAATAACAACAACAACAATACAAGGGTTAAGGACTGTTAATAAAGACCGTGATTTCCCTGGCAAGCAAGTCTCTGTGTCTGCTGCCGCGATGCGTCGGTTGCCACCATTAAATCTGAGGGGCCGTGTTCCCCTCACATTTCATAATTATTCATTTGGAACCCCACATTTAACATAAAATATTAGTTTTATGCCAGTGTGTCCCCCCCACCCCCACATTTAAAATGCTTCTGATGCCCCTGGTGCAGCCAAACGTTACTTCCGGAAAAATGGAGGTTAAATTCAGTGCTGAGCAGCAGCAGGCTGGTGCAGCTGACATTTCACTGCAATACACTGTGCCTTGCTGTTCCACTGGCTTTGAAATATCTACACCGAATACAAGCTCTGTGAATAAATAAAACCAACAAACTGCACATACTGTAGGATGAAATAGGCTGAGATTGGAGCATCAAAGCTGTTGTAGTGATCGTGTGTTTCCATTGATTCCAGTTCAAACTTGAAGCTGTTCAGCCACTGGAAATATTACTCTTTACCACACAAATATTATTGTGTTAATTTCCTCTCTGAAAGAAATTGATTTATATTATTTTTCATTTTAAATTGAAGGGATAGATTAATTACATTATAACCTAAAATCCGGTTACATCTTTGACTTTTTAATAGTCAATGAGTTTGGCAACATCAGTGTAAATTTCAGAAATTGGTTTAGGATCTTAGTGACTTCATTGGAATTTTCTTCCTTCTCCTGGTCTTTCTTTCTTCCCCCCGCCAGTGAGAGAGTTTGTGAGTGAGGCTCTGCTGGTATCCGACCGCTGTCGATTCCTACGCCAGGAACAGATGGAAACCTGCGAAAGCTCCGTGTACTGGCACAACATCGCCAAGGAGGTGGGCCCAGCCTGCCCAGACGGCCCACAGTACAGCTGGGCGCAGCCTAGACACTTAGCATGGCAGCGTAGGCCTACTAAATACACAGTCCACCTTGGTCTCCCTTCATCTCCGTGTCACACTTTTATTTCTCTGTCTCCCTGCTTATTTAAGAAAGGATGTACTCTTTCTAAATTAACCTCATGCTCTGTCCTTCCTGGCATGACTCTGGTTTCTTTGCAACAGTGTAATGGATAAACAGTGATACAATGTGGGTGGGTGGGTGGATGGATGGATAGATGGATGGATGGATATTTTCCATGCTAACTGCTGTTTCTGTGCAGGCTTGCACAGCAGACAGGCTGGAGCTGCACAGCTATGGCATGCTCATGCCTTGTGGTGACCACTTCCGTGGGGTGGAGTATGTCTGCTGTCCAGGGAGGACCAGCTCCAGCGGGATTGGCGAGGCCGCTGGGGACACCCTACAGCTTGGCTACCAAACTCAGGCACCGCTAGCTACCAACTGGATCAGCAGCAGGCGCGTTTCTGTGGCCTCTTTTTGCTTAATGGATGCGGGTTATGAATTTGCGTCTGTGTCCAGAATCCCATGGCCATAATTATTAGCATTGGACCCCTGAGAAGGACCCTTAACTGTAATCTTGGCTTTTACCTGTATGTGTGTGTGTGTGTGTGTGTGTGTGTGTGTGTCTCACATGGGAAAGCAAGGTAGGATATGCCACCTGTACAATGACAATAAAAACATGACTAGTATGACTTTGGTTAAAATGGACGATTAATTAGAATGATGAGGTTGATATCAGTAACGTTATGTCTTCACAATTTTAGGGCCAAACTGAGTCCTCCCAGCCCTAGCCCTTCCACTGAGGCTGAAGTGTACGATGAGGACATCAATAAAGAGGATGGGCGGGTGGAGGAGCAGGAGGAAGAGGAAGAAGGAGTGAAAGATGGAGAGGAATATGAGTACTCCATTGACTCTGGTACCTTCCAGGCCTCAGACTACATGGACTCCTTCTACTATGAAAAGAGTGGCCAGGCCAGCCGAGGCTCTGCCACAACTGCCCCCCTAACGAGAGGAGACAGCTGTGAGTGCTATTCACATTCATAGGCTGTAGATTAACTTTGCCATACTCCCAAGTTTGTTTTTTAAAAAGATGCTTTCTTGTCCAAGTGTTAAGCAGACAGGAAGTCAAATACAAAGCACACATTATCCATTCCATCATTCATCCCAATTTCAAGCGCTTTCACCAACCATCTTCTTGAATCTAATTGCCTGTCCCTGAGTTTTCATTCTTCTTCTTCCAGTGATTCACCTCCAGTCTTACATTAGCCTCTGTAGTTTGCGAAAAAAAGACCAAAAAGGAAAAGCAATTTCTGACCCTTGAGTGGCTGGAACTTCTTGTCACTTATTCTTGTTCAGGTTAAGTAGCTTATATTGGCAAGATCTTCACTACTCACCATTTTCATGCGCCAAACTATCTTTCAGTTCCGACACCACGGCCGACCGACGGGGTAGATGTGTATTTCGAGATGCCAAGTGATGACAGTGAGCATGCCAACTTTGTGCGTGCCAAACTCGATCTGGAAGAAAGGCGAATGAAAAGCATCAATGAGGTGAGAAGCTATAGGACTCACAGGAAGCATAAGGGCAGCAGAGCATTAGAATGAGGAAGTTAATGAAGTGAATAGAGCAAGGGTTCGTTAATGATGCCAGATTAATTAAAGCATGTGGTACAACGGCTCAGTGGGCAGTACAGTAACCTCTGGTACCTAAGGCTGGGGGTTTGAATTCTGCCTCTGTTGTGTGCTCTCCCTCTGTTCCTGTGGATTTCCTTCACATACTCTAGTTTCTTTCCTCAGCTGAGGAGCATGTTGTAGTTGCACTGGTGTTGCTCTGTTATATGATTGCTTCAATGTCCAGCTATTGCCAGTTTCTGTATGGGACTAGACCTTTTTGTTTCATTTTTATTGACTGATCAAGCCCTTTCGCATCTTTTAGCCTTTTCAACAGACATGTCACAAAGACAGGTTCGTTGACATTGCATGGAGATTGCAGAGCAGACAGGTCTTCGTCTGAGCCATGTGTGACAGTAACTCATTGTGTTTGTTCCTTTAGATCATGAAGGAGTGGGCTGAGGCTGACAACCAGTCCAGGAACCTGCCTAAGTCTGACCGCCAGGCCCTCAATGAGGTAGAAAAAAGGATGAGAGAGATGTAAAGTTTTGTTATTAAAAGTCTTTGTGACATGCTCTCATTTGTTTTTGTCCAGCATTTCCAGAGTGTCCTTCAGACCCTTGAGGAACAGGTGGCTGGAGAGAGACAGAGGTTGGTGGAGACACACCTGGCCAGGGTGGTGGCCACTCTAAACAACAACCGCCGGCTGGCCCTTGAGAGTTACCTGACCGCCGTGCAGAGCATCCCTCCCCAGGTGAGCCAAAGGAAGGATGACAGATGGGATGAAAGGCAAGAACTGGTATGCTGACTTAAAATAATTGACTGGAGCCTGAATTGTTGATCTAACTGTTGTTCAAATTATCGATTATGGCTATTTTGAAATGTGGAATTCCATCCATATAATCATTGTGAACCTATTCTGTTTCTACTCCAATCTCTTCCCCTTCCACCCAACAGCGAGACCGTGTGCTCCAGGCCCTAAAGCGCTACATGGCTGCAGAACAGAAGGATCGCAGACACACCCTGAGACACTACAGGCACATCGAGGCAGTGGACCCCCAGAAGGCCGAGCAGATGAAGTTCCAGGTAATATTTTGACGGGGGGTTAGGTTAGATTTTGTTGCTAGACATGAAGAATATAAATGTGAGAAATAGGGTTATACCCGATGATACTTAGATTCTCAAAATATAGGTCAATAAATACAAAAAATAGATCCATAATAATTTATAGCTGGCAGATATCAATCAGCTGTGTACTCTAGGTCTTTTTGTCCATTTTTGAAGCTTTGGTTCCCTGGTTGTGTGCAGGTCTATACTCACCTTCATGTGATTGAGGAACGGATGAACCAGAGCCTGGCCTTGCTTTATAAGGTCCCTATGCTAGGAGAGGAGCTGCACGATGAGATCCGTGAGTCTGTCTCTGTCTGCATCCCATCTTCTTTCTTTCTTCTCTTAACTGTTCCCTAGAAAATTGCCAAGTACCATTTGCCTTCTCTCTTTCTACAGAAGAGCTAGTGAAATCAGAGAAGGGAGACATTAGTGAACTGATGACTACCTCTTTCTCCGAGACTCATACCACAGAGGAGCTGCTGCCAGCTGAGAGCGAGGAAGAGAAGGATGATGAGGAGGAAGAGGAGAAGGCCTTTCAGAACCGGCCATATCCACCCAACATTGGTACGTATTGCATTCTTGTTTGTTCAGATGCTCATGGCAGCCTTAGTGTTTGCGCTCTGCGCAAACTGAAGACTAATGAATTGGTGAGTCTAAAATGATATCAATTGATTTATTGATTAGTTATTACTTTGACCAGTTTATTGAATGTGGGTTTCACATACACTCATCAGTAAAAGTACTTATGTGTCACAAGGCAAGTATACTACAAGTTTTCTAAATGTGATACAGAATGATGTATTCAGAAATACAGTGGTACCTCAGAACTCAAACTTAATCCGTTCAGAACTCCGGATCGAACCCTAAAAAGTTTGAGTTCTGATCCAATTTTCCCCATAAGAAATAATGGAAAACGAATTAAATGGTTACTGGCCACAAAAAAATTACACAGAAATATGTTTTTTTTTTTTAGCATTTAAACACAAAATGAACCGGATAAAACAAGAAGAGCATATACTGTACTAAACACATCTAAGCACATTTATCAAAACAGTCATTTTTAAAGTAAGAAAATACATGTATCCAAACAATGTGTCCTGCCCTGATCGTCCGCTCATTCCGTGTGCCACGCCCTCTCGTTAACCCCGTGTGGAATCCCCGTGTGATCAGCTCTTTCTGTTTGTTGTCATTAGTCCTCCGTATTTAGTCCGTGTTTCAGTTTGTTTCCCCAGTCCGGTCATTGTGTTGTCCATCTGCGTTTTACCTGCCTTACCTGTAATTAAACCCCGTATTCCCCAATACCCTGACACCTGCGCCTTTGTCTCCATTCTGTCCCCACTGGGCACGACAATATTATTATAATTAAATGTATTCATGATTTATTATTAATATTAAAATAATTAATAAGAAATCTTTATTTTTAAATGTATTTTATTATATCATAATAATTACTGTTACTGTCTATCATTGTCTGAATGTATTTTTACTGTCTAAATATATGGATTCAGCTAATGAAAACATGCACGATGCTATCACAGCGAATGCGGGGCTGAGACTGAAGCGTTACCCTTTGTTTTCTGCTGAGAGACATGCCCCGTGATTTATTTCCCCGCGCGTACAAGTTCTTAGGTCTGCGTTCATGGTTTGACTTCTGAGATTCAGATCGAGTTCTAGGCAATTTTTTTTCGAACTGGTTGATTCAACTTTTAAGAAATTCCAGTTATAATGAGTTCGAGAACTGAGGTACCACTGTATATATGCTAGCAAATAAAATGTGTCAGCTTACCTTATTAATCAGATTTATGAATACGTGTCATTCAATGATGACTTAACAGCAATGAGCAAGGTGACTGACTGGCTCTTATTCTCCTTGCATTTTGTTCCATTCTCTCTTTCTGTCTTCTCAAAGATTCCCAGCCCATCAATAAGAAAGGTCAGTAGTGACTTGAACACCCAGTAACAAATGTTCCTAGAATACAAAATGTGATTTCTGTTTTTGCTGAAGAAGATGGCAGGAGGATCACTGTTTTGGAAACATGACCTTTTTTGCTGCACATCTTCCTCTTGTGATAATAGTACTCTTGTTTTTTGCTCTAAAACAGTCTCTGGAATGGACGAGTATGACTACACCACAGCTGAGAAAATCCCAAATTACGAGTATGAAGAAAAGGTGAAGAGATCAATCCTTTTTCTTGCTTATGGCAAAAAACTCTATACAGTATTTATCACACATTGACCTAAATTTTGTTGTCCCTGTCAGTTCATTCATAGTGCACATTTTTCAAATGTTGTGTTTTGGTATCTTGCTAGGTAAACTCTTCTGTTGAACTCAAGCAAGTAGTATACAAGTCACCTGGTATCCAGAGAGATGAGCTGGTAAATATTCAGATAGAATGGTCTCAGCAAATCTCTTTTGTTTTCCTTTTGTGGAATTTGTGGAAAGTTAAATTGATTCTGTGGCTGACCAACCTTCACAATTAAAGCAACTTCGGGACTTCTTTTCACTGTTGCCTCAAGCTATCTATACACAATTCTATAATTTACCTTTTCTTGCTTCATTAATGTATAATTTTTTCTGTTCACCAATTAGCAACCAGATGCCCTGGAGACATTTAACCGTGGTGCTATGGTGGGGCTACTTGTGGTTGCTGTGGCAATCGCCATGGTTATGGTGATCAGTCTTCTGCTGGTGCGCAGGAAGCCTTATGGTACCATCAGCCATGGTATAGTCGAGGTAAGGAGCTGAGCCCCAGTTTCTGCCCTGTCTTATTCATAGATATGTGCCGTACTATATATATGACCTAAGAACTAATTTATTGTTGTTATTCACTCAGAAAACCCATTTCAATTTTATTGCCACATTAATTGCTTAAAATCAAAGAATTTGATTTCTGGTATCTGGAGTACTAGTATCAATATTACAACATTGAAATTTTAGAGAAATAGATTTAGTGGCTTATTAACTGAGGTCCACGGAGACCAGACTCAGTTCATATGGAATCACATCCTGACCACTGCAAAATATATGTAAACTCCTTCTGTCTTCACCAATCAATTATGTCAGTTATGAGGTCCAGGTGTTTCTTTTCTCCATTTTAAAGTTATTAATGAGATTGCATATTTTTTTTCCCCTCTCACCCTGTCTCTTCCCCTGGCTGATGTGTGTCCCTCGCTGGTATTCTACAGCAGGTAGACCCAATGCTGTCCCCAGAAGAAAGGCAGCTCAGCAAGATGCAGAACCACGGCTATGAAAATCCCACCTACAAATTCTTTGAGCAAATGAACTGAAAGGGACGGATGGGGCCACACGGTTACTCCTGCAGCACTGGATTCTCTCTCTCTCTCTCTCCCTCTCTCCCTTCTCTATGTCTCTCTTTTTCTCTCTCTCTTCTCCCACCGAGGGGCATCGAAAGCACCTCTCATATTCCAATACGTTGCTTTAAGATCAACAACAACAACAACAAACATGACAAGCAAGTAAATTCCCTAACCTCCCAAACCCTTCATACATTTTTGACAGTAAACATTATAAAAAAAATAACCACCATCTTTGTTTTTGTTGTTGTTGTTAAAAGCCACTGATTGAGTCTATGGTGTGGCATGTTTTTTATTTGTAATTTAAACATATTATCTAGTGTGTCAAATTACATTTGTGAGAACAGGGGTTTATCATGGAGATAAAGATTCTGCAAAGAAGTCTCTAAAATCTCCCTGTTTGTATGAATCAGAGTCAATTGTTTAAAAAAATATTTTATGTTGTACAGTAGTAGTACATTTTGTGAATATAATTTTGATTATAATATTGTTTTTTTCAGTGAAACACAACAAAAGCTGACTTATTGTGCACTTAATAATAAACCCTGACCCTCATTCACCTTTCAGTAAATAGACATTGCTGTTGTGACCCCTAATGCCACTGTAGTAGATTATGAAATCCTACTTCTAAAAAGGAAGAACTAAGAAAACAAAGTATAGCAAAATGTGTGTGTGTGAGGAAAGTAAAAGATTTGAGATAAAACTTTTTTTGCTCAGTAATTTTTAATTGGATAAAATTGCATCATTATTATGAGAAACTCCCATTTTCTAAAAATGCATAAAATAATTTACATTCTCTTTTAGACATTTAAATTCAAGCTGTAGCTGCCAGCTACAAATGTGGCTCATTAAATTACTGAATTAACCCAAACATTAACTGTTTATTATTTTTGTTTGCTGCTGCCTAAAAATTTTTTAAACTATAATCAAATGTCCTTAATTCAAAAAAGCATGAAAATTTAATGTATAATGCTACCGTATTTGTGTTGTTCCTGTTTTTGGTTTTTATATAAGAATAATGTTGCAGTGTAATCAAAAATATAAATACAGAGGTAACTGAAAAATGTAACCTTTCGTTATTAATTTGCATCCGAGCAATGTGTGAGGATTAAAAGTAACAAAAAAATTACATATCATACATATGTATTTACATATATATGTATGTATATGTACACACACATTTTATATACATACACACACACATACACACACACACACACACATATATATATGAAAACATACACTTTGTGCTGCTCAGAGTGGGAAAGAATTTTTAAAACATGGCTGATTGAAAACGGACTGTTGTAAAAACCAGCACAGCACAGATAACAGTGTAGTTACTTCTGACTGAATGTATTTTAAGTAGACATTAAGTTCTTGAAATGTGCACCACCATATTATAGATCCCTTTTTAGGGAAAATTTATTAATGAGCTCATTACACTGTAGGCTTTTTTGATTATTCTTAAGATGTTTGTTTCTTTCTAAAAATAAATGAATTGTGATTTTAATTTGCGTATAACAATGTGGTGCAAATCTGGAGTGAACACAAACAATTTAAAGTAATGTTCGATTTACAATGACAGGTGGCATTTCTAATATAGTGAATCCTAACACCAGTCAAAGCCCGAGGCCACAGAAGTATGTAGTGTTAAATGACACATCAGCGAATCAGGCATCAGAGGAACAGCGTGTGTGTGGTATTTTTAGGTGTTTGCTGTTAACATCTCTATTCTCGCACTGCTATAGCTCAGTAAGTCTTTATGCATTTCATGTGATGTTATGTAGTTCAAAATAATCCACTTGAAATCTTAGAGGCGATAATGTGGAATGTTTTTGTCTACTATAGATACTGCCTTTTTTGGTTTACACATCCCACGAGAAGAATCGGGTTATGTGATTATGAGGATAAACTTGAGTCTGTTGTAATCTAATGAACATTCTGTCTTTGTAAATAAGAATGAGTGGTCTAGGTGAAAGGCCTTTTAGAGGATTTTAGACATTTCTTCCTTCCAGATTAAGCTCCTTTGTGAACATAGCTAAACTTAGGTGGAATGCGTCACTATGTCTCTACTGACCAGAAAAGCATTTATGGACTTTTGAATCTACCATTTAATTGCATTATTTTCTCAGTTTCTACAGCCAGGTTTTGTGGCCACTATAAGCGTATTCTATACATATTCTGTAATGTGCAAAAACGTGCAAGTTAAACATTCATGTGTCAGTAAGATTCACTGGATTCATTGGAATCTTCTTTATTGTGAAATAATTTGTTTTAAATAATGTGCTTACTTGGGCACAGGTGAATGAAACATGGAAAGAAAATATAGAGAAGCATACCATTAAAAATTTGTACAGCCTTGTTATTGAAGGAAATAGACACTGTTAATGGATACCAGGCCCAGCTTATTCTTCATGACTATTAAGAAAATTAAAATATAAAGTGACGTGATGAGAGGTTTGCTCACAGGTGGGGGTTCGAGTCTAAGTCAGTTTCCTACCAGCATTTTATGGCATTCTGCTTTTAATGACGTTATTTTAGAATTATATTTTATTTAAATTTTGCACTCAAATGAAAATGAAAATAATGTGAAACATTTGCATTTCATTTATTGTGTTGATTTTTCCATACTCTTGGATGAGATATTACACATTTTATTTTTAATTTATAATACACAACTGTTTGGATTGAGGGTCATGCTTTTTGCTCTTTGGAGTTTTCAACCGCTTGAAAAATTAATAAACTAATATCACTCCTAATGGATTTTTGCTATCTAATCCAAATCCACAGCGAGTTATATTAGAAGACATTATCCAAATAATTAAATATCTCATGTCCTGGAATGTAGACCTTTACCAAAATTATCTTATTGTATACATTTCTTCACAGCAGACCTTCCAAAATCAGATAGTGGATTTCTGCTGCTGGATTTGGCATTGTAAATAAGAAAATTATACCATGGAGTAAGCTGATCTTCAGTCCCATCCCAAACTGGACTTGGAGAAGTCTGAATTATTTTGAATATTTTGTTCTGGAAAATGACCATGTATTGTAGGCCATCTGATTTAACAAGTCAAAATAGTAATAAAATTACAAATGACCCACAAGAGACTGGCAGTTGTTTTTTTTGTGTGTATCCCTATTGAAAACATAAAAAGCCCTTAATAGCTTTTGTTAGAAAACGATCAATTAAACTTTATATTTTTCTTTTTTATAATGTTCACATGATATGCTCCACTTCTGGACAAGCAGCTATTGATATTTTTAACATATCCTCAACCAGACTTTTGTACTTTTCTGAATAAAATTGTGCCTATATACCTGCAATCAATTATATATTTTCACTCACACATTAACATTGTCGGAGGATCGATTTCTATCTAATGAATCAGACGATGATCTTTGTGCAGAGCATTCTAGTGGTTGTTTTTTCACCAATTCCAAAACAATATCCAAAACTCAAACTCATCAACTGGAAATTAATTAGAAAATCACAACAGACAGAACAATACCAAAATTGGAATCCGAATTGTAAAGTCAAGAAACAGGTGGAAGGACAGAACACAAATGGCAGCTAAAAATCAATGGAGGGAAATGGCCGGCATGGCATGAACTCATAATACCTCATACCCAACTAATGATAACAACCAAGATTTAACTAATATAGCAGATAATGCTTAAGAGGTGGATTTAATAAACTGATGAAGGCATTCGGGGAAGGGTTTTGCTGAAGATCCGGAATGAATTCAAGTCCTGGATCAAATTTATTTTTTCTGTACAAATGGCCCTATGCTTTTGACAAATTATATAACTTTGTATTTGGTCTCCCCTGCAAGCTTTAATAATGAGACTAATTTATTTAGATATTTTAGGAACTGTTAAAAAGTTTGATATCTAAACAGGGACAGGCTGTTACACACATTCTGTCACATCCACGCACTTAGTCCTGCACTCTGGGTCTCTGGAGTATTAGGTGGGCCTTCAAGTTTGCCTCATTAATGTCTCCTTGGTTATCTCTCCATATTTTATTAATTGGTCAATTACCCTGGTAGTTGTAGTCCAACCTCACGCCTCACATCATTATCTTCATGTCAGTTACCTGTGTTGACCATTTAATCTGCATCTTCCTTTGGGCTCGCAGCCAAATGTTTTACTCTCTCCCTGGTGTCTGCAGTACCTGCTTCCTCACAGTGTTGCACATCCAACCAGTCCCTTTTTGCAGTTCCTTCATGGCCCTCCGTGCTCTGTCTCCTTTTATACGCACAGACTAGTGCATTGAGCATCTGTATCTTTGTGGTCAGGCTTGTGGGTGTTGGTCTGTGTTCCCTTAGTTGCATGTATCTACTTTGATGGTCCTCAGTAAAGCCTCCTTGGCTCTACATATGCATTGTGCTCTCCCTACACTTGTACTTGGGCCGCAATGTGACACATTCAGCATCAAGTCATAACAGAACTGGTTCTAAAAAGATGTCATTTTCTTTTCATTTCTAGGTACGTAATCGGGGACAGTGATCTTTCATTGGGTTTGTTACCTCACTGCAGACTGTTAATCTAAGCCATCTGTCACAGTAAATAAGATTTTGTATATCTATCTTCGATAACTGCTTATCAGTTGCAGACATTACTTTGTACTTGATAAGCAGTCTACTCAAACTCACACATTCACCTAACCACAATGTGTAAATCCAGTGTTATTCTCTGTGCCGTGGCACCACCTGCTTGGGAAAAAATCAAAATCAAATCAAAACTTCATGGAAGGGGATGGGCATCTTTCCTGGGCACAATAAAAGGAAATTGTCTTATATAATGAGTGGGAACAAGAACCAGGTGAAATGAGTAAGTGGGCCCATCACCTGATTTTGCAGAGCTCCACGTGGGCCAGACAAACACCCCAACAACAATATATCTACTCTACTGGACTTTCTGATTTTAATCTACAAATATCTTTCCATCCATCCCACTGCTCATCCTGTCTGAGGAAGACTGAAGGAGATCATTCCTA